TTCTTTTCTTTTCTTTTTCTTTTCTTTCTTTTCTTTTCTTTTCTTTTCTTTTCTTTTCTTTTCTTTTCTTTTCTTTTCTTTTCTTTTCTTTTCCTCTTTTCTTTCTTTTCCTTCCTCCCTTTTCTTTTGTTCTTTCTTTCTTTCTTTCTTTCTTTCTTTCTTTTTTCTTCTTTCCTCCCCTCCCCTCCCCTCTCAACTCCTCCCTTCTCTTTCCTTCCTTCTTTCCTCTTGCCTTCTTCCTTCCCTTCCTTCCCTTCCCCTTCCCTTTCCCTCTCCTTTTCTTCCCCTCCCCTCTCCTTTTTCTCTTCTCCCCTGTTCTTCCTCTCCCCTCCTCTTCCTTCCCTCATTCCCTTCTTCTTTTTCTTCTTCTTCTTCTCCTCTTCCTCCTCCTCTTTCTCTTATTGGAATTTGGATTAAGATCCCCAAAAGATGAACTTGATAGTGAGTGTGAAATTCCTATAAAACAATACATTGGTAAGAAAAGCAAAGAAGCGACTTTATTGAGGGGAAAAGTGGGCTATTTATAGCTACAGTGATTTATCAGCTAATTTGACTGTAAAACCTAACCTGCATGAAGCTGTCAAACTTTTAAATGTTTCATTTAATGTAAAATTTTGTATTTTGCTGCAGAATTATTAGTGTGTTTGATGGTGGGATCTTGTCCTACTACCCATTGGGTAGAGGTTTTATGTAATGTACAATATGTACCATATTATCTTTATAAAATCTCCAAATTTCTGATGTCCAAAACACAGTGGGTCCCAAGGTTTCAAGTAAGAGCTTATGGAGCTGTACAACAGCTATCCAACCTTCTTAAGAAGTGTATTATTTCCAACACAGTTAAATCTCTTTTGTATCCTTCTCAGTTGCTCTCTTCACTCTCCCCTCCAAAAGTAACAGCTCTTCTGTTTTGTTTTTTTGTTGTTGTTGTTACTGTGCTTAATGCGTAACTATTTTAGTTCAAATTAAGTTTGATCTGTTTTTCATTCAATATATCAACATTAATTTCAGATGAACAAAACAGTTAAATAGAGAAGACAAAACCATAAAGAAACTAGTAGAAAGTACAGATGAATATTTATGTGATTTGGGGACTGAGGAGTACATTTCTAAACAAAATTTGTAGAGCCAGAAAAAAAATGTTTGATAGAAATGACAACATTAAAGTGAAAGAATCTTTTCTACATATAAGTTAAAAATATAAATAATAGGGGCGCCTGGGTGGCGCAGTCGGTTAAGCGTCCGACTTCAGCCAGGTCACGATCTCGCGGTCCGTGAGTTCGAGCCCCGCGTCGGGCTCTGGGCTGATGGCTCAGAGCCTGGAGCCTGTTTCCGATTCTGTGTCTCCCTCTCTCTTTCTGCCCCTCCCCCGTTCATGCTCTGTCTCTCTCTGTCCCAAAAATAAATAAACGTTGAAAAAAAAAATTAAAAAAAAAAAAATAAATAATAAATAAAAGCTATTTAAAAATACATTTGCCAAAAAAAGAAAAAAATACATTTGCTAAGTGATAAATATCCTTAACATAGGAAAAGTCTTTATAAGTTAAAAGGAAAAATATGAACAGTCTAATAAACTGAGAAATAGACATTAATATATGGTTCATATAAGAAGAAATATAAAGGAACTCTACAATTTAGAAAATTAAAGGAATGCTGACTTAAACAATAAAATGTCACCTAATTAAATGAAAAGATGAAAAAAAATGCTATTTAAGAGTAGAGATATGATACCAAACAGGGAATGCCTGGTTGGAGTATAGATTGTTACGCTCTTCAAGGAGAGCAATTTTATTTATGAATACTTAAAACTCCACATAGTTTTTTTTTTGTTTTGTTTTGTTTTTGTTTTTGTTTTTTTTAAGATAGTGTGAGTGGGAGAGGGGCAGAGAGGGAGAGAGAAAGAGAGAGAGAGAGAATATCCCAAGCAGGCTTGTACCATCAGCACAGAGCCTGATGCAGGGCTCAAACTCAGTAACTGTGAGATCATGACCTGAGCCGAAATCAAGAGTCAGACACTTAACTGACTGAGCTACCCAGGAACCCCAGACTCCACATAGTTTTAAAGACTTATTCTAAGGCTATAGGTGTATGTATAAGGATGTTCATATGATTTCTTTTTCATGTGTAAAACTTAATTTAATTTAATGTTTTTAATGTTTATTTTTGAGAGAGGGAGACAGAGTGTGAAAGGGGAGGGCTGGGGAGCGGAGAAAGAGGGAGACACAGCATCCAAAGGAGGCTCCAGGCTCTGAGCTGTCAGCACAGAGCCTGTCGCGGTGTTTGAATCCATGAATCACAAGATCATGACCTGAGCTGGAGCTGGACTCTTAACCGACTGAGCCACCTACACCCCCTAAATTTAATTTAACTTAATTATTTTTCCCCTGCCCTGCCCTCTAATGTGTAAAACTTAAAGTCATTAAATGTCCTTAAAGTCATTTAGTAGAAGATTAGTAAAATAAATCTTGGTACATTCATTTAAAAGAATAATAAACTACAGTGTATTTTAGAAAAATATCTTACATGAGAAGGTATTACAAATGTTTACTTAATGTAGTAAGCAATTAAAAAGTATGAACAATTTGACTATATTTGTCTTTTTTAAAGAATTTTTTTAAGTTTATTTATTTATTTTGAGAGAAAGAGAACGAAAATGCACTGGGGAGGGTCAGAGACAAAGGGAGACCGAGAATCCCAAGTAGGCTCCATGCTGTCAGCTCAGAGCCTGATGTGGGACTCAAACTCACAAACCACGAGATCATGACCTTAGGAAGTTGGACATTTAAGCAACTGAGCCACCTTGGCGCCCCAATTTGATTACATTTAAAATAAAAAGTTACAATGAAGTTTTGAAGGCTGAAATGGACAATTGAGGCTTCAGATGAACAGAAGTATCTGCAATGTCTAAAAACAAAGATATGGGGCTCTTGCCAGGAGCCGTGTGTGCTATTTGTCCTCACTCAGCCATCCCAACTTTCCATTCTCACCTCAGGCTGTTCTTTTCTGTGTTTCTTGTATGTATATTCCAAACTTCTCCCTCTGCTCTCCGGGCCCCTTGTCTGTGAGGGACAGCATAAAGCTCTGCCTCTGGTCACTGAAGTAGCTATGGGGCAGAATACTTTCCTTGGCAGGACCACTGAATATTGCCCATAATGTTCACCAGTTGCTGGTATCACTGGCCGCTTGGTACTCATCTTCCCTTCCTCTTTCTTCCTCCAAATTGTTCCAGGTTGCAAATTCCTTCAGATTACTCAAGATGCCCCTGAGAGAAAGCATGACTGCCAGTTCAGGGTGTTTGACTGCTTCAGGCTCCACTCATTTCCTCTGAAACCTGAGGCTATTAAAGTCTAGCGGCACACCCGGGAGGTTTTGCTCTCGGAGGGATCCATTCAACCTGGCTTAAGAACCTATGAAAATTTGCGATTCTTGAACTCTAGAAAAAATGTTTAGAAAATGGACAAGGTTAAATGTTAACTATTGTCAGTATTATTTTAACATAACAATGAAGAGAAACTACACTTTCTAGAATACCCACTCTTTCCTTTGATTCATAGTATATATATTATCTCTCTCTATGTTTATGTTTTCTACATGGAGTAGCATCCTGGATCAGCAGGATACTTTCTTCTCTCTCTCTCTCTTTTTTTTAAATAGACTCCATGTCCAGCATGGAGCCCAACGCAGGGCTCAAACTCAAGACCCTGAGACCAAGAGTTGGACGCCTAACTGACTGAGCCACCCAGGCATCCCGTTTCCTTTCATTTTTATGTTATAATAGTATTGAAATAGTAATTATCTTTATTAGAAGCGTTGGTTAGGCTCCTCTGAATGTGTTTAAAAATTTTTTTCTAATGCTTTTATTTTATTTTTGAGAGAGAGAGTGCGAGTTGGGGGAGAGGCAGAGAGAGAAGGAGATACAGAATCTGAAGCAGGCTCCAGGCTCTGAGCTGTCAGCAGAGAGCCTGATGTGGGGGCTGAAACTCATGGAGTATGAGATCATGCCCTGAGCTGAAGTCGGACACCCAACCGACTGAGCCACCCAGGCACCCCACCTCTGAATGTGTTTTAGAACTATCATTTGCATGAGATCAGTTTAGGGGGCCATAATCAGTATTATTAATAAAAATTGAAATGAAATAGAACAGAACAGAATAGAAAATAATAGCATGTATTACATGGAATTTTACTTCAGGCATGCATGTGTGCGTGTGTGTGTGTGTTTGCGTGTTTGCGTGTATTCCTTAAACTTGTGTACGGGTTGCAATGTAAAATGTTCTTGCAAAGAGTTTGAGGTTAAAAAAAGTTTTAGAAATTGTGTCTTTATAAGGTAAATAGAGACCATGATTTTGAATTTAGGAGATTCATGGAAGGTGGAATTTCATGAGATATCTAGGATTAAAAAACAAATTACTCTTGAATAACTACTGTGAAGGGGGGGGCGGAATAGCAGTACAATTCAAGGCATCCCACCCCATTTTTATTCACATAGCTTGAAAGCTTTTTCTTATATTAAGCTGATATTTTTCCTATGTTCTAGTAACATCCATTTATTAGTTTGAGTAATAAGCACTATTTTTAGGGCAGCATCTTTCTTCTGATCGCCCTTCAGATACTTTAGCACCTTTATTGTGATAGCTTTTCAGATATTTGATAGATAGGTGTTATTTAGGTATAGTGTATAGTGTCCAGGTATAGTATATAGTATCTCTAAATGAATATTTTACCCATCTTTGGGCTAAAATACCCTTTATTTTTCATGTGTGTAGCTTTGAGTTCTTCTCCAAACATACTCCCATCTAATCGTGTTTCAGTTGTCAGTGGCCTTGCTAAAACATGGCATCTTAATGTAATTCTTATCATGTGGTCTTAGAGTCTTACCATCTTACTGATTCCAGATGAAGGATCAGCAAACTGTGTCTTGCAGGCCAAATCCAGCTTGTCTCCTATTTTTGTAAATAAAGTTTTGTTGGAATGTAGCAATGCCCATTCATCTACGTTTTGTTTATGGCTGCATTTTTGCTATAGTGGCTGAGAGGAATAGTTACAACAGAGATTATCTACCTAGCCCTTTGCGAAAATAGTTTCTTGACCCCCATAATTTAGACAATTTAGAAGCATTTAGAAGCATTTTAGAAGCATTTAGACAATGATTCTATTAGTGTTGTCTTAGCTCTGCATTTGGGACAGCTACATTCTTAATTCTTAATTCATGTTGAGCTAATAGTCCAGTAAAACCAAGTGTTTCACATGTGGTACTATTAAATAGTAAAGAGGAGGTTTGAGGGTTTCTTCTTTTTCTGTTACTTCATAACGACTTTCTGGAGAAGGTTGGATTTTATTTTGTCTGTGAAAAAAGGAGGTGCTTGTGGTAATCTGCTCTGAAAATGATACTCCAGGTGTAGTATATAGTGTAGGGAAAAGTTTTCAGATGTGTGTTCCTGAAAAACTAGTTTCTTAAGATGATCCTCAGTAAAAGGGTGTTATGTTAAATAAATGTGGAAAACATTCTGTATGATATCCCCCTTATTGGGCATTCATGGTACATGCAGAATATTAAAGGCTTCAAGAAGTCCTGAATAAAGTAACGTGTTTAGTGGAATTTCCCACTGAATTTTAGTGGGACATTTGGTGTGTGTGTATGTATGTGTGTGTGTGTATCTATCTGTGCACCGTGTGCACCTCTGGGTGCATGTGAAGAGTGCCTATTAACATTTCTTGGTGTTCTAAGGGACATAATAGGAAACACTCAGCTAAGGGAGTGTCTTAAAAGTGTAAGGAGTGGCAGTTATTGGTGGAAGGGGGGTAGAAAGCCTCCATTAAAGAAAGCTTTAGAAGTTAATATTGCTCATGTTTGTTGTTGCTGCTTAGAGAGAGAGAGAGAGAGAGTGAGAGAGAGAGAGAGAGAGAGAGAGAGAGAGAGAGAGAGAAGGGCAGAGGGAGAGGGAGAGAGAGAATCTCAAACAGGCTCCATGCTGGGCATGGAGCTTGATCTCATGACCATGAGATCATGACCTGAGCCAAAATCAAGAATTGGATGCTCAACTGACTGAGCCACCCAGGTGCCCCTGCTCATGTTTTGATACTATCGACATGGTGAGGAAATTACTATTCTGTATACTTAATTTTTTTTATATCAGTCGAATCTCCAAAAGTGGATGTCAAAAAACTTGGTGCCAGCGCCTTTAAATTATGAACTCTAGATAAATTTTAAGGCCTGTTTACATAGTTTTGACTATCTGATGAAGAGATTGATTAATTTCAAAAAAAAAATGAGAATACGGAAGTGTTAGGAACTATTTTGAATTAATGATCCAAAAGAGGCCTCTGGGTGGCTCAGTCGGTTAAGTGTTCAACTTCAGATCTGCCCATGGTCTTGCAGTTCACGAGTTCAAGCCCCACGTCAGGCTTTGTGCTGACAGCACAGAGCCTGGAGCCTGCTTCAGATTCTGTGTCTCCCTCTCTCTCTGCCTCTCCCCCAGTCGTGTTCTGTCTCTCTCTCTCTCTGTCAAAAATAACAGCACAGTTAAAAAATTTTCAAAAAGAATTAAGATAAAATGTTTTCTAAAATTAGGATAATAGGGGCATCTGGGTGGCTCAGTTGGTTAAGCATTCAATTCGTAATTTCGACTCAGGTCATGAGCTTATGGTTTGTGAGACTGAGCCCCGTGTTGGGCTCTGCACTGACAGCACAGAGCCTGCTTGAGATTTTCTCTCTCCCTCTCTCTCTCTGCCCCTCCCCTTTCTCAAAATAAATGAACTTAAAAGAAAAAAAAGAATAAAAAAAATAAAATTAGGATAATAAACGGAAAATTTGACCTGAGTTAAAAGTTCAGTTTACACCCAAGTTTTCCAGGAATACATTGGTGAAGTGAGGAATATCTATGGTAAAATTTGTTCTTTGTACATATAGTAGAGACGCAAAGGTTCTCTGGGTAATTTTTTCTATTTTCTGTTTTCTCTCTTTTCTTTCCACAACTCAGGTGTGATCTTTAGTTGTTATAGTGTCTTAGTTTGGAATATTCTAAGCTGAACATGTCAGTCAGTAAATTTGTTTTCTTTGATTTTTAAAAATACCATGCAGTAGAAAACATTGAGTAGAAAAGTTGATAGAATTTAGACCCAAGAGAATGCCATTAAACCAAAACGTGTTGGGATCCTGAAAGTATCTGAATAACTGTTTTTAGTCTTTTCATTTAAAATGTTGATCTTGGGGTGCTTGGGTGGCTCAGTCGGTTGAGCGTCCGACTTCGGCTCAAGTCATGACCTCACAGTCCATGAGTTCGAGCCCCATGTCGGGCTCTGTGCTGTCAGCTCAGAGCCTGGAGCCTACTTCGGATTCTGTGTCTCCCCCTCTCTCTGCCCCTCCCCCACTCACACTCTGTCTCTCTATCAAAAAATGAATAAACATTAAAAAGTTAAAAAAAGAATGTTGATCTTACCCAACAATTGTCCAAATGTTTGTTTTTTTATGAGTTTAAATTGTCTTCTCTCCACAGAATCAAGTGACGGATACTAATAGAAAACTGCAACATGAGGGAAAGGAAGTAAGGCTGGTTTACCTTTTGAACAAATCTTCTCTGTTTCCTGTCATTCTCTTGTGATGACTGCGTTCTTGATGGCTTAGAAGACCAAGAGCAGTGTGTTGGAGGAACTTGGACATTATCATTGCTTCTCCTAATGTTTTTCGGAATTACACGAATATAGCCGCTAGAAAGTGTAATGAGAAAGGATGTAGCTTTTCTAGTATATGTGCTGCCAAAGTGAGCACAAGGATGTAGCTTTTCGTAGCTGTGGTTTTAAATCACTTGAGTGGCCACTGCTGTTCTCTCTGTCTGGAATGCTTTTTCCCCAATATTCTACTTCAGACTTTGCTCAGATGTTCCCTTCTTAATGATGCCTTTTATTTGAAATTGCAGACTCGCTCTCACTCCTGCATTCTTTTTAGTTTTACTTTTTGTGCTTTATTTTTCTCCACTGCACCTATCGTGCTCTTCTATTACATATTTTTAGTGGTATGTTTGTTTTCTGTCTGTCTCCTTCCATTAGAAATTAAGCTCCGTGAAGTCGGGAATTTTTGTTTGTTTTATTCATTGCCATATTCCCTCTGCCTGCCTAAACAGTGACTGGCACAAGGTGGGTGCTCCATAAATATTTGTTAAAAAGTGAATCAGTGATTCTGTTAATTGATATAATTGCCATTTAAGCCATCACAGTTTACAAGATTATTTTACATCCTTTTTCTCACTTGATTCCCATGACAGGCCTATGATAAATCAGGACAGGTATTATCACCATTTTATTGGTGAGGAAACTAAAACAGATGATTTGCTAAAATTTACATAGCAATTATTTTCTGACTTGCAGACCATCACTGTTCTTTGTGTCATGTACTTTTATTACCTACTAGTACTTACTTAGTTTTAATAATTTTTAAGACTAGCTTTTGATTGTTTTATCAATGACTTAATCAGGGCTATTCTCTCTCTCTCTCTCTCTCTCTCTCTCTCTCTCTCTTTTTGTATGGTATTACCTAAGCAGATAACGTTTTTTAAGTATAAGTTCGGGATGAGTACCACAAAAAGCTATGTAGATTACTGTTTTTTGAAAGTTTGTCTCACATATTTAAAATTACACAGAGAATGCAGTTTCTTCTAGTTGTAGTGTGGTATGACTTCAAATGGGAAGGAAAAGTGAGTTACTCTTCCCTAAACTGGAACTCTTGGAAAAGCCATAACTTCTAAGCATGTGGTTTATTTGTTAAAATAGAGATTTAGTTGAAGATTATGTTTAAAACCCAACTGAAGCAATATAGGGAGGACTGTTTCCCTCAAGGAGCCTCGCACTGATGAGAGAAACATAGGATCTTCTCAGAAGACTTGATGAAACCAAGCATAATGAAGGGTCTGAGTAAGGCTTGGAGAAAATCTGCAAGTTTTTTCTTTTCTTCTGGATAGCCCCTGGATTTTAGGATTCCACTTTAGCTGGCCTTTTCCAGTATAGTATGTATCCTGGGGAGAAAATGGGAAACCACGCAGGAATGTTTTACTAGTTGAGAAAGGCAGTTTCTTAGTTCACTTGGCAGGTCTTTCTATGAAACTGTCTGGGATTTTCTGATGAATTGAACACAGGGTGGAAAAATGTGACTGAAAGCTTTTTATTTACAGCTACTGGCATAATTCAGTTTTTTTTCCTCTTGCCAAGCTGGTAATAGCAATGGAAGAGCTGAAGCAGTGTCGACTACAACAGAGAAATATTTCAGCCACTGTTGATAAATTAATGCTGTGTCTTCCAGGTGAGGAGCTGGAAATGGACTAGGATTCTTGATGTAATTCCTTTAGCTTTAATACGTTTTTCACTTGCTCTGAATAATACTTATATGCTCTTTTCCCCCTTTTCTTTCAAGTCCTAGAGATGTATAGCAAACTGAGGGACCAGATGAAAACTAAAAGGTAAGATTGTTTTATTGAATATTTTTTATTATGTAAAATTTCTGTTAATTAGGATAGTTTTAAGGTCCATATTTAGCCTAACCTTTCAAGAAATAATTAAGTCCGTATAACATCCTCTCTAGCCTTTTGTGTATCTGTTGATTCATCCTGAGACTTACTTATATACACTGCTGGTATGCTGATGTATTTTGCCACATATCATGTTTAATAAGAAAAACACTACTCATAGTTTGGTTTTTAGAAGACCTGGTCTTTCAGGGATAAAACACGTAACTTTTAGTGGTAGTTTATTGGAGAAGCATGCTTTGGTTTAGTATTGTAGTAGAAAAATGATTACTGGTTCTGGTGCAGGGGTGACTTAGGGTTCTTCCCTGAAACAGAATCAGTAGAGAGAGGGGGAGAGAGAGAGAGGGAGGAAGTCTATGTGTACAGTGAGGGAGGGAGGGAGGTGTTGACTGATTGATTTTAGGAAGCTGGTTCACATGATTATGGAGGCTGTTTTCTTCTGGTTTTTTTCCAAAGGAATGTCTATAGTGACTCTTCCGCTCTTCTTCCCAAGCTAGAGTAAGCACACTACCCTGGAGCGTGCTGCAGTATGAGGGGGTATGTGAGGCTGTCTGATAAACAGGACACATCTTTCTGGAATGTTGATTTTTACCTAGGTTTCAAGGGAAAAAGTATAGAATCAAAATGTGATATTGAAATAACAGTAGAAATATTGTTAATAAAACCATTAAATCCTCAAGAATTTTAAAGCCTAAAAAGCATGAAGCATCAAAGTTTTTTGAATTTCTTAGACACCCATCTTTTTCCCAGAAGGAGGTGTTCACATATGAGAATGTAGGTAAGATAATAGGAGTAGTTCTGTTCGGTGAGATATGAAAGTAGTGTTATTTTTCTGATAACCTCTTAGTAACGTTCTAAAATTACAGAAGATTACAGAGAATAAAAAAAACACTGTGTACCAGCTTCTCTGAATTAACAGATATTAATAATTTTCCAGTTTTGATTTACATATATATAAATACACATAGACGCATATAGACATATCTGGACAGAGAGAGGTAAAGATAGACATTTTTTACAATTATAGATAAGATTTATGTCCCTTTCCTCAACCCTATTCCTTTCACTACTCCCCTGAGGAAACCAGTATCATAAATTTGGTGTCTTTCTAGTCCATGTTTTTAACGTCTGCAAATCATATATTGTATTATTTTGTGTTTTTAAAAACATGTACATGAATGGTTCTCAGTCGGGTTTTTTTGAGATTCATTCATTCATTCATTCATTCATTCCACAAAAATGAATGGATTACTTACTATATGCTAGGCATTGTTCTTGGGGGTACAGCTCTGAAGAAAACAGACAAAAATATCTGCTGTTTTGCGGCTTCCACACTAATGGAGAATTTATTTATGTATATAGATCTAGTTCACTTACTTTAATCCTTCATAATAGTCCATTATGTAAATAATTCACATTTCCCCTCTCATTTCCAATAGTTGTTATAAGTGCTGTGCACCAATACTTCCAGCTCAGTCTTCTTCTGGCGCCGTAGTAGGATTATGTTTCCTGGGCTCCATTGGGCTGTGTGACTGATCAGATGTGAGCAGAAGTGGTGAATGTTACTTTTGGGCTTAGCAGTTACTTTCTAGCACAAGGTCCTTCCAGAGGTCTGTTTTCCTTTGGGTGTGACCAATGGTAACTTTCAAGATGTTGGTTGAATCCCTTAGTAACTGCAGTGAACAGAACTTCTCTGCCAACCTGGTATGGGTGTATAGTATGAGTAAGTTATAAATCTTTGCTTTAAGACACTGAGATTTTTGGGATTGTTGTTACTACAAGATAGCTGTCCTCACATACTGTGAAGGACATTTGATGTGTCTCCAGTTGTTTGCTATGCAGACGGTGGTTCAGTAAATATTCTTGTTTGTGTCTCTTTGTTCACACATTCAGGGTTTCTTGAGAACTATGTTCTTCAAATGTTGCTATATATACAAATCACATGGGGATTTGTTAAATGTAGATTCTTAATTCAGTAGGTCTGAGGCCATTCTGGAGATTAGGCATCTTCTACCAAGCTCCCAGGTAGTACCAGTTCTGCTGGTATATGGTTTATACCTAGAAAGAGATCAGCTGGATCAAAAAAAGGATTTTCATGTATTTGTTCTTACTAGATATTATTCTCCAAAGTGATTTATCAATTTAGACTCCCACTGTCATTTTTTGGGGAGGTCTGTTACTCCACCTTTAGGTAACATCTGTATTGTGAGACTTTGTGGTTTTTGCCAGTCTGATGATTATGAAATGATAGACCATTATTCTGCATTTTCATTTTTTTGATTACTAGTGAGATTGGTTTTTGGGCATTTGGATTTTCTTTCATTATTTTGCCCATTTTTCTCTCAGGTTTGTTCTTGTTGTTTTTTCATTTATTAGAATTCATTAATATGCTTTGGATACCTTTTCCTCTTATTAGGAATATCCTGCAAATATTTTCTTTCAATGCATGGCTTATCTAATAACTTTGTAAAGTTAGTGCTTTTTGTTGTTATAGTAGTTGTAAATTTTGTTATTATCATTTATTTTGTGGTCTTTAAAAATTTTTATTTTTAAACATTCTCAAGTACAGTATAAATTAACTGTGTTTTTTCTTGAATCAGTTTTAAGTTGCTAATGTGACACCCTCCCCAAATACTTTAGTGTGATTTCCAAGCAATAAAGACACTCTTCTGTGCAGCCACAATGCAACAGAGAATAGAAATTAACATTGATATTTTAGTAGCATCTAATCCTCATACCCAATTCAGATTTTGGTAATTATCTCAATCATGTTCTTTACAGCAAAAGAATCCAGTTTAAAACGTGTGTTGCATTTAATGGTCATGTCTCTTTATTCTTCAGCCTGGAACTGTCCTCGGTCTTTCCTTGACTTCCATGACTGCCACTTTTGAATATTACAGGCCAATTTTTATGTAGAATGCGCCTCAGTTTGGAGTTGTCTGATACTTTCTCATGGTTAGATTCATGTTTTATGTCTTTGGCTGGAATATCACAAAGGGGGTGCTGTGTTCTCATTGCATCTTACAGGTGGCACATAAATTTTATTTGTCCTATCAATGATGATGTCCACTTTGATTACTTGATTAAGATGGTGTCTTTCAGACATTTGCATTGTAAGGTTGCTCTTTTTTACATTTGCAATTAAAAATTTTGTGGGGAGGTATTTTCTAGTTATATAAGTTAATCATTTTTCATCAGATTTTCACTTTAATTTTTTTTATGTCAGTATGGACTCACAGTTTCTTATTTTATTTGATGAGTCATGATTTATTAGTGTGATTTATCTTGTTCAAATTATCCTGAATGGCACCAGTGGTGCTTCTATGTCTGGCTTCTATGTCCTTTTAACATGTCCTCTTAATTTTTGGAGGACTCTGTTACGAAGGAGGTATTTTTCAGGTTCATCTTATAATCTGCCTGTTGCAGCCCTGGAATAAGGCAACTCTCTGAGTAACTATGGTTCTTTTGGTAGAGAATGTTATGTAGAAGCCAGGATATATGTGCCTGGTGTACTCATTAGTGAGTAACCTGGTTTTCATTGCTCTTAATACATTTACTTACTGAATCATTTCCTTGTATGAAACTAATCACGTATCATCGCTGTCACTGCAACTCTTTACCTTCTCAACACTGCACACTGAGTTGCCCTCCTCTATGGTATCCTCCTTACTCCACTTGGGCTGTAATACTGTAAGTCCTGGCTGAATGCCCTTGTCATCTCTCCTGGGCTCTGACACTCCATGCCAGGCTGCCTTTGTATATGGACATCCTCCACACTCCACTAGGTCCCTTGCACACCATGCTGGTCCATCTCAGAATTGTTCAGGATATTCCCTTGTAATTTTAACATGTGTGGGCTCTGTAGTAATGCTTTCTCTTTCATTACTTAGTTGATAATTTGTGTCTTTTCTCTCTCGGTCTCTTTGATTATTCTAGCTAGAAATTTATCAGTTGCACTAATTTTTTTTCTGAAAAGCATCTTTAGGTTTTACTGTTATTTACTGATTTCTGCTATTATTTTTAGTATTTTCTTTCTCCTACTTACTTGAGGTTTAATTCCCTCTTTTCTAGCTTTATAAGGTAGATTTTGGTTCTTTATTTTCTAATGTAGCCATTTAAAGCTGTACATTTTTCTCTTAGCAGTGCATTAACTGCTCTTACCTGTTTTATGATGATGTGTTTTTTCCCCCTTTTATCTCAAATGTTTTAATTCCTTTGTGATTTTAAAAATTTAATCGCATTATTTAGAAATGAATTGGTTAATTTACAAGTAGTAGATTTTTCAGGTTTAAAAAATTGATTTGTAATTTTAGTTCACTGTGTTCATGAATGTAAGATGTATGATTTCAACTTTTTAAATGTTTGGTGAAACTTGTTTTAATGGCCCAGCATATGGTCCATTTTGGTGAAAATTTCATGTATACCTCAAAATTATGTATATTCTGTTGTTGAATAGGGCATTCTTTAACTATTATTTAGATACCCTTGATTAACAGTGTTGTTCAGGTTTTCTACATCCTAGTGATTTTGTATTTGTCAATTGCTGACAGTAATGTTGAGATTGTCTGTTATGATTGTGGATTTGCAAATTTCTTTTTTCTCTTCTTTCAGTTCTTGCTGTTGTATTTTGAAGCTTTCTTGTTGGGTGCATATACATTTAGCATTGTTATATCTTCTTTGTATCTTCTTGATGAGATGACCAGTTTATTATTATGAAGGTTCCTCTTTATCCCTGGTAATATTCTTTTTTTTTTTTTTTTAAATATATGTTGGGGTGCCTGGGTGGCTCTGTCAGGTGAGCGGCCAACTCTTGATTTTGGCTCAGGTCATGATCCCAGAGTTGTGGGATTGAGCCGTGCAGCAGGGCCCGTGCTGAGTGTTGGAGCCTGCTTGAGATTCTTTCTCTCTCCGACTCATGCTCTTTCATTCTCTCT